AATACATCCTCCCACAGGTACACTGGCTGCATATTTTGGCTTAAAAACATTAAAGAAATATCCTTGTGTAACAAGAGAATAAATGTATTGCCCTAATAGTGAGCATCAGAATTCCTCATAGAGAACTATTCTGATAAACTACTTGGTGTGGAAACTCAAATCCTTACAGATAAGCTGGCATGAGATGATGCCACAGCAGCGAAAGTTAAACTATTCAGCATTAGAAATGAAAAAGAACTTGGGAAGATTGAAGAAAATGGATATTGAAGAGTTTATGATAGAAAGGCAAAGGGAATTCTAAGAAAAAGAGGCTCCAATATGACATTTTAAGGTTGCTTTCTTGTTTGGTTTTTGCAATGTAATACCCTGGCGTTCACACATAGCTCTCAGTAAATTCAGGTTAACCGGTGGAGAGCCTTCTTATTTATCTGTTTCAGGTTTGGGTTTTCTAGTGAAAATCAAAGAAAAAGGCAAGTTCCACATCTCCCTCTGACATGCTGTGGGACAGGGACAGATCTGTGAGGTAAGGATGCCATTAGTTCACAGAAACGGCTCTTATCCAGAGGTGAGCACTAGCAGAACACAAACAATTCTCCCCCTATTCCCAGAACCCTCTCCACTGGGAACCCCAGTCCCACCCCCACTTGCTCTTGAACACACCTATCAGGCCTTTGCTCTTGTCAGTGCCAATTAATGGTCAATTCTCAGTCCTCATCTAACAGGATTTACCACAATTTATCATCCGCCCTCTTTGAAAAGTTCTATTCATTAGATGCCTGGAACATAGAGCTATTTTCTTAGTACCTCAGTTGCTTCTTGTCAACCAGCAGGCTTTCATGGCTCCTAATCTCTATAACCACTAAACATTGGATCCATCCCTCCTCGCTCCTATTCTCTTTCCTACCTGATCTCACAGCTGTGGTGGTCCTAACCATCCTGACATGCTGGCAAATGGATTACTCTAGTCCAGTGGTTCTCAACCTTCCTAATGCCGCGACCCTTTAATACAGTTCCTCATGTTGTGGTGACCCCCAATTTCATTGTTACCAATTGAACATAATTAAAGCATAGTGATTAATCATAAAACAATATGTCATTATATATGTGTTTTCCGATGGTCTTAGGCAACCCCTGTGAAAGGGTAGTTTGACCCCCAAAGAGGTAGCGACCCACAGGTTGAGAACCGCTGCTCTAGCCAGATCTCTAAGTCAAAGTCCAAAATTATAAATGCAATGTCTACTTGAATTTCTTATAGACATTAAGGTGCCACCTACATGCTTAATAGACATGTCAATCTCAAACACTGTCTCTTTACACAATTGTCCTGTCTCAGTAAAATGTAAATCGATTCTTCAAATTTTCAGACCAAAAACCTTGGAATTGCCCTTGGTACCTGTCTTGTTCTCATACCCCACATCCTGTTCAGCAGTGAGTTTTTGTCTGTGCTTTCAATACATATCCAGATCATTTCTCTGTTAACATCCTAGTCCACCAGGCAACCATCATATTGTGCCATATATTCTTAACTGGTTTTTATGCCTCTGACCTTTCTACCTATGCCAGAGTCTCTCAATTGCAGCACTATTGACATTTTAGTTAGACAACTCTTTTATTATGGGAGGCTGTCATGTGCACGGTAAGATGTTTAGCAGTATCCCTGGCCTCTATCCACTAAATGCCAATAGAACACACTCTACCACCCCTCCTTGAGTTGTGACAAATAAAAATGTCTCCAGATATTGCCAAGTACCTGAGGGACAAATTCACCCTGATTGAGCACCATTGCCCCACAGTATACTAGTACTTAACCCACATAATACCCTTTTATAACAGAAACCAGATTATGTAATACTTCTAATAACTGACCAATTGATTTCCATCTCACCCAGGAGAAAAAAGCCAAAGTCTTTACCACAGTCTGCTGGCTCTCCATGATCTGCTACTCACCTTGACCTTATCTCCTTAACCCATTCTGCTCTAGTCATACCTGCCTCTTTCCTGTTCTTTAGTTGCCCCAACAAAGCTCCCATCTCAAAGTCAGGGCACTTTCCCCACTTGGGTTACTCCTGCATGTCTTTGAGTTCTTTGCTCAAGAGTCAGCTTCCCAATAAAGCCACCAATACCCATTTAAAAGATTCAGCCCTTTTCCCACATCTAATCTGCTCCACACACTTCCTGCTCCTCTGTTCCAGCTTTATTTTTAATGGCACTTCTCTCCATCTGATACACTTTATGTGCTACTGATTGCTTTAGGGTCTGCCTCTACCTAAGAAAACGTAAGCCCCAGGAGGGAAGGGATTTTTGTCTTTTTTATTTGCTGCTGTATCCCCATCACATAGAAAAGTGCCTGTGGGAGGCACTCAATAGATGCTTAATCTTTTTTTATTATTGATTAAGTTATTACATATGTGTCCTTATCTTCACATTACCCCCATTCCCCCCCCCCACTCATGCCCTCACCCCCCTGTTGTCTGTGTCCATTGGTTAGGCCTATATGTTAGCATATAAGTCCTTTGGTTGATCTCTCCCCCTTACCCCCACCCTCCCCTACCTTCCCTCTGAGGTTTGATGGTCTGACTGATGCTTCTCTGTAGATGGAAGGAAGATAGGGAGGGATAGAGGGCGGGAGGGAGAGAAACCATTTTAGTTCTGAAGGTTTCGTTCTGAAGTTGATATCTATGATACCTCTACATTAACAAAGACTGAGTTGATTTCCATGGAACTTATGTAAAATATAATTCATCGTGTACAGTGGAAAGTAAGAATTTGTCAAAATGCTTCTGTGCTTAGGAATTTTTATGGAGGAGGTATTTAGAAAGCATACTTATAAATCCATTAACATATAGATCTAAATATCTATAGATACATAAAGTAAGTAGAACTTTAGGAGAAATTTTAGGAAGTGCCACAGGCTATAGTAACTCCCCCAGATACATAAAAAGAAGTGTGCTGGGGTGAGTCAAATCATTCTGTTGTACACACCGGAAGGTAGCTTAACAAGTAAGAGTACCAGCGAACAAAGCTCTTTTCTGCAGATGAAAGCCTGAATGGTTCACTTGTGAGTGAAATAGAGGACTGGGGATGCCTCCTGCTGCAAGCTGACAGCTACATGGAACCCCCTGAAGTTATAAATTGAATTCCTCCACTAATTACTGGTCTGAAGGGGACAAAGATTCGCATTTTATTTCTCTTGCTGAACTTGCAGCATAAGCACTTGTGAATTTTACATTAGGGTCAAGCTGGGAAGTTCCCAGTCAGTTTCACTTGGAGTACAGAACAGTGTCACCTCCCATGCAAATGAGGTCAGGTATTCTCCCTGCCTTGGGTGCCTACCAGGGAGATTTCAGTGTAATGGATTCCAATAGGGAAGTGAATACAGAGAAGAAAAGAAAGAAGACAGAAAAAAAAAACCACATAGATCCTATTTGAGATACAATTTTGTTAAACATTTGAACTTATATATTATGGATTCTAAGAGCATATATTTGAAAAAGTCCTCAGAATTTCATAAACATCACTTATTAAAATTATATGCCACACCCATTGATCCCAATATCAACTATTCCATCTACTCTCTGAACTACACATTGTAAGACCAATAAAGCTACTCAGCAGGCAGGTGCTTTAATGAAATAGGCCCAGTTCTCCTGAGAGGAGAGCCTGTGGTTCAAATGCTAACATTTTTGATCAGATAAGTACTTTATTCTTGCCAACAAGCAATCACTTTTATGTGGACGCTGATAAAAATGCTCTGGGGAAGGAAAAAAGGATGGGGAGAGGGGAGGGAATAAAGGAAGATAGTGATGTAATCTTTCAAAACAGGTTTTCTGAGGACAAAAAAATAACTTCAGCATTTCTAATGGGTGACATGCCTTTTCTAATTTCCTGGAAAGTCAGAGTCCGTTCCCCTGTAAAAGCAGTAACTTTAGCCCTGACGGGTTTGGCTCAATGGGTTAGAGCTTCGCAGGTTCAATTCCTGGTTACGGGCACCGTACCTCGGTTGCGGTTTCCATCCCCAGCTTGGACTGGGTGCGTGTGGGAGGCTCTCTCACATAAATGTCTCTCTCTCTCTCTCTCTCTCTTTCTCTCTCTCTCTCTCTCTCTCTCTCTCTCTCTCTCTCTCTCTCTCTCTCTCTCTCTCTCTCCTGACCTCCTCCCTTCCATTCTGTCCGAAAATTAATGGAAAAAATATCCTCAGGTGAGGATTTAAAAAAAAGAAAGAAAAAAAAGCTGGTATACCAGAGAGTAGGAGAATCCTTAAAAAATAAAAAGCAGCAACTTCATTTAAATTAGGATAACAAAATCCATCCATTTATTCATTCAACAAAAAATTATCCAACATATCTCTTTGTAAAAGAAGGAAATGCAAGCATATTCATCATGAACACAACCTCCACCATTAAAATTCTCCTTCTCTCTTGATTTTATTCCATTTACCAGGACTTACTTGAAATGTGACTGAACAAAAATAACCGAAGGGACAACGAATACACTGAGATCTGACATCTGGGATTAGGAAAGAAACAAAGCAATGAGTAGACAATATTGAATAGGTCTGGAAACCATAAAGACCTACCTTGAAATCCCAGCTTCTTTACTTATTGGCTGTCTGAATGAATGGAAGGCTCCTGGGTCTCAATTCCCTTTGGTGGAAAATGTAACAGTAGCCTACCCACGTAGCAGCTGTGCGGATTAAATGAGATGCTGACAAGTACCCCTTCCCAGGACGTATTACACAAACTGTAGCTATGGGGGGCTATCTTCTGGAATCCAAAACTTAGATAATGCCATTCTTAATTCCTATGAGCACTGTTTGGCAAGCCTCTAGAAACACTAAATTTTATTTTACCTCTTCAGAAAAAAACTATTTTCATGCTTATCGTCTTTAAAATATATAACCCTTGGAATTTCCGTGCTTCTGAATGTCTCGAATAAATGCATGAAGAAGAAATTCCACCTTCTTGGACCCCTTCCAGTAAAATAACCAAGACAATTCTTACCTAGTTTGGGCAAGGAGTAGGGCACTTTAAAGTAGTCTTCATAAAACTCTATTAATCTCTTTGTTATATGGAGAGCATAGTCCCCGGATCCTCTTCTGATAGCGTCGGGTCGTGCATATAATCGTACCTAATTAAAAATATATATAAAAGTTACTTTAGCCTTTTGGTACTCAAATTTTATCTTGCCTGCATATATGAATCTACACAAATCACTTCGCTTCCTACAGAAATTAAACAGCATTCTTGTTCATATATCAAAGCATGCTGTGGCTGAATGAACCAAACTCAAGCAATTAAAGTAACCAAGTTGAGCAAGTCACAATTTCCTCGCTTTACAAGAAGACATAGAGAAGATTTATACAGCTTGCATCAAAATAAGTATTCAAAGTTATCACTTACATGTGCTTGCTAGAGATAGGAAGGTACGGCGGATTAGGATAATGGTTCTCTGACTATGCGGAAAGTAGGCAGGATATGGTGGCTCAGCAGGAGAGAAAATTCATGGTTTGTTAAAGACACATTGCATCCAGCTAGGAAAGCATTACCGAGCCGAACAGAAATATATGTTACACTTCCTTCTTTTCTTTGGAACTAACTGTCCTTATTCCCAATATGCAAAGTAGGAATAGAAAATGTTTCATGTCCATAAATGATTGCCATTCTGGAAAGCTGTCTTCAACTCCTCCAGGCTTCGAAACCAGCTGAGGTCATTCATATTTCTAACACAGTCCGGATACTTAATATTGATTTTTAAATCAAGCATTGTATATTATCTAGTCCTTGGCCAAAAAGGAGCTAGAGGCAAATAACATAAAACTGAACAAAACTAACAACTATACAGAAAAGGTTAAAATGAGATTAGTTTTCATAAAGCTTTTATAAAGCTACCCAGCATCTTTCTTTCCAAAGGCTAAATCTATTTTTCACAGATGTGGTCCCTAATCCTCATATCAATTCTGTGAATAATAAATATGTATTCTGTGGAGCTGTGACGAGCACAGCAGCCTGGGAGTTGGCTGCTAGTCCTGCTCTGTTACTGACCAAACCGAGTGATATTGAACAAAGTACTTAACCTCTTTGGGTCTCAAGTGGTCTCATTTATAAAATAGAAGTGTTGGCCACCAGCTGGTTACTAAAGCTCTTTTCAGTTCTAAAACAGATTACTTCCAATCACATTTTACAGATAAAGGAGTTTGTGTTCTTTTCAAATCACTGAAAAAAAAAATGGTTTACTCGGTTTGTGAAAATGGATATTTATATTCAACACAAAGACCAAAAAAAGCTGTACTCAATCGTATAAAAATTGATTAGACAATCAACTCTTTACTATCCTGGCTTAAGGGGAGAGAACATATGTCAGAGATGTGTTTAATCAAAAAGAGTAGAAAGTTTTAAAAAAATACATTCTGCTTTATGTTAGAAAGTCCTCTAATTCAATAAGATATCTACTAAATTCAATAAATTTATTTACTGAAATTCCCACCCACCAACCAAATCGAGTATCAAATTTAGTTGACAGTCACCTACAGTTTAGGTTGGTGGTGTAGACACCACGTACCACTGCAAAATGTGACACTTTTAAAGAGAAAGTTGTTACCATTCCCTGCCCCTGACATCACTGCTTATAAACATGCAATATGTTACGTATAAGTTCCCAAGAAGCAGACCCCAAGGAAAGGATGAGTGTGCAAGTGGTCTACTAAGGAGGTGTTCTCAGGAGAAACCTACAAGGGAGCCCTGGGAAGCAAATAAGGAAGAATAATGAGTCAAGCAAAGTGCAATTTCAGCTGAAGTCCTGAGAGCCTGATCCCACAGGGAGCCCTGGAGTATAACATGCCCCGGTGAGCTTGCACTGCCTGAGGCACGGCAGCTAGATTCCCAAACTCCTGCACCTCAGTCATTGGATACTGATTACCAAGGGGAAGGCATCCATGGACTGGCCCAAGTATAGTCCCTTGAAGAAGATTTCAGGGACAACCTATTAAGAGCAAAGCAGTGAGAGTTGGGGTATAGGTGCACCAAACAGGAAAGATGCCTGGGTATCAGCAGCATACACCACATACAGTAATCATTTACTCATGCATTCATTCATTCATTCAACAAACATTATTTGACATCTGCTTTGCAACAGGCCTGGACTAAGCATTTTTAACTTGGTAGTGAATCAGACATGTTCTCTAATTAAAGGTGGCACAAAGCATTATTGAGGGGAGGGGGCATGGAGAGAGAAGCAATGTAATCTCCATTCTCAGAGAGTTTTCCATTTATTAGGTAAGTTAGATAATAAGGACAATGATAAATACTATGTTAATGGTAAACTCTAAATGACAAATGGATACTCAGGAGAATGGACATCTTTCAGAAGATTCAAGTTTAAAAGCATAACCAGGACCACTGCAAAATGGTGCAGCAAAAGGACACTAATTTCACTCCTAGGAAGCAGCATTGATTTTGGTAGAAACAGCCACTCCTATTAATCAATCCTACCAGTTAGTCAAGCTATCTGTAGACCAAGACAGGAGAAGCACAATTAAATTAAGCTGGTTTTCAAGATTTTATGGAAATGATCCAATCTGAGTGAGAAGATAAAACATACACACGCTTAGCACAGTGTCTTCTTTTGTTCATTCAGACAAGTATTGCACGCATGCTGTGTGTCAGGATTGTAGTAGAGAATAGAAATAAAACAATAAAAATTCTTACCACAAAATGAATAAGACATTTACTCTTACTGCTCTTAAGAGGTTCACAATGTGTGGGAAAACAAACAAATAAATCAACAATGAAATACATTGTGAGAAATGCAACATGTACTCTGCCTTCCCTCCCATTGGAAAAGTTAGGGAGGCTGCACTCATAAGGTCAAGCCCTCAACGTTCTATCCCCTCTTGTCTCTTCAAAGATGTTCTCAAATGCTTCTCTTTATCCCCCATATCACCAATTTATATCTCCATGTTGCATAATTTTCACCAGCAAACAAGTAATCTGTATTGTTTCTTACGTTTAAAAACAAAATCTTTGCTGACCACAGTTCCTCAGCTATGTTTTCCAGCAATGCTCCTTGAAAGTTTTTTTCTTCTATATAGTTAGGATTAGTATGTAAGTTAACATCCAAACTGAAACACTTTTAGAATGAAAAGGATCCCTTAGGTGTAAGTAGGATGGTTGCCCACTTACACTCTATGTCTATTCTCTCTTGAATTCACTATAATGAAGCTTTGATTCCCACCTCTCTCCCATAACTGCTCTCGCCAACATCACTAAAGGCTCCAGGATGCCAAATCCAACAGTCGGTTCCAGTCCTCAACATGCATCACCTATCAGCAGAATTTGGCACAGTTGATAATTTCTCCTCCTCCTAACACTTTTTTCACTTGGCTTCTATCTCACTTTCCCTTCTATCTGGTTGACAATTCCTTCTGTCTCCTGGCTGATTTCTCCTTATCCTCATCCATCTTTCTCACTTAATGTTGGAGGGTTCCAGATTCCATCAATAGATATTTTCAATTCTCTGTCTACACTCAGTTCTTTTGGTGATGACATTTAGTCTCGTGGTTATAAATGTCACTTAGATGCTGAAGATTTTACCTCATTACTTCCAGACTCCCACACTCATTAATCCACCTGCCCACTGGATGTTTCCACTAAGATATCGAAGAGGCATCTCAAATGTAACATGTCTGATATTACGCGCGCACACACACACACACACACACACACACACACACACACACCCACCCCTACCTGCTACTCCAAAAGTCTTTCCATCACTTGCCCAAGCCCAATGCCTCAACACTATTTTTTCCTCTTTTTTTTCATACTCCATGTTCAATTGGTCATGAAATCCTTGTGGATCTACCTTAAAAATATATTCAAACACCAACCATTTTTATAACCCCACCATTACCACTCTGCTCCAAGCTTCCTTTCTTTCTTGCCTAGATGAGTGCTCTAGTAGCCTACTAATGTCTTGTTCCTTACTCCTTAAGTATGTCCTCTACGCAGCAATGAAATGTTCCTGTTAAAATGAACATCAAGTCCTATCACTCTTTAGCTTTCCTCCTCCAGTGGCTTCCCATCTCATTCAGAGTAAGAGGCCAAGTTTTACAAGGGCCCCAATATATCCCTATAAAAATGGAATCCTCTTTATCTCTCTGACCTCATTTCTTACTACTTTGCTCCACACTAACCTTACTCTATCCATACACTAGCTTCCTTTGCATTTTGCATTCCTCAATCATGCCAGATCTCCCATTAAGGCTTTTGAGTTTTCCCCTAGATAGCTCCATGGCTTGCTCACTGTATACCTTAGATACTTCTACAAATATCTCTGCTTGCTTAGACATCTTCCCTTCTACCCCAGAACTTTCTATCCTCCTTCCTTGTTTTATTGTTTCCTGTAATATTTATCAGCATTTAGTAACAGATATGTTTTACTTTCTCATTTTGCTCCCTGCTGCCTTTTCTCCAAGAATGTAACTTGCATGAGGGAAATAATTTTGACCTATTAGCTCTGACCATGAAAGTGTCATTTTTTATGTAGGTCAAAATAGGTTGTTTTGTTTTGTTTTAATTTTTCTGTCAAGTGCCTGGCACATAGTAAGCAGTCCATACAGTTTTCTGAATGAATGAGTGAATTTCATAGGTATGTGCCGGTCCTAAGGAGTATACAATAGGAACCCTTTGATAAGACTGTGGGATGGGATCCTCAGGGGAGAAAATGTTTCAGCTAAGTCTTGAAATTAAGCTGAATGCATTAAGCTAAATAGAAGGTAATATCCTAGACCAGTGGTCGGCAAACTGCGGCTCACGAGCCACATGTGGCTTTTTGGTCCCTTGGGTGTGGCTCTTCCTAAGCCTTAGGAGTATCCTAATTAAGTTAATTACAATGTACCTACCTATATAGTTTAAGTTTAAAAAATTTGGCTCTCAAAAGAAAGTTCAATCGTTGTACTGTTGATATTTGGCTCTGTTGACAAATGAGTTTGCCGACCACTGTTGGCACCTAGATCAAAGTCATATTACGTGCTTAGGAAAAAATGCTGACCAAATAATTAGTGACTTTAAAGGCAATAGTAAATATTAGAACTTAGTTATAACAGTGGTGGTGAATCATTGGGGGATATT